ATAGGTCAATGCCTTTCCTTTTAATTAGCTACCTTAAAGTAACCCTGAAACTTAAAATCCAATATCATCTATTACCATTGACATCGCCAAGTGTGGCGGACCATGAGGTTAAATGTAAGTCCATTAATTTTATTGAGGGAAAAGCTTAGGGGAACCATTGGGTTAAATGTCAGACCATTAATTTTATTGAGGGAAAAGTTTAGGGAGTCCAATATAGTATAAGGAAAATAGAAGCAAAACTGTACCTGTGGACCCTCTGGATCACTTAAAATGACGTCCCAAATATGGAGGATGTCAAAAAAATTAAATTCCTGAGTCAAGAGGAGAGTAATCCACCTAAATGCATAGAATTGGGGATTGACCTGAAATTTAAATGTGAGATTTGTCATTTTTTCGATCAACTGCTCAATAACCAAATCAAACACGTACTTGAATCATCTGACAAATTGAAACTGAACATTATACCGACTAATTAAAGACTAAAAGTGACACTTAACTAGTAGATGAACACAAAAACTGTCAACCAAAAAGAAAAAAAAAAGGTCCAAAAAGAACAGGTGCAACATAGAACGCGTCACTGAATCAATGAAGCAGGCAGGAACACACTTACTAGATCATTTATTATTTATTAGTTATTTTATGAATAAAATATTGGAGAATAATGAAAACATTTTTTGAACAAATTTAATAAAACAGAAAAGAGATGATAGGACAATGTCTTCATCCCTCGCCCTTGTAATTATTTGCCAAACAAAATGAGTTAGCCACCATTGCTCTAAGGCGTTTCTTTTAGATAGATAGAGCACGTACTTAAATTGCCTCTTACCTGAGTAGTAACCTCAAGATGACGCCACAGTTCTTCATCGTGTTCTTTTAAAAGCTGGGACAATCTTGTAATAGTGGAACGGATTCCAACAATACTATTATCAAGTTGTTGACAAAAATTATCTTGGAACCCACTCAATAGCTCAACAAAACAAAAGAATGTGTCTGCTTCAGCAAAGGCCTGCATTTAGTTATTGGAAACAGCTGGGAAAATTCAAAATCACGAGTAAAATGAAACTACATAATCAATCACTGCTGTCTGAGCAACTTTTATTAAACAAAAACCTCTTATCAACATCCCCATGGCCATATTTTTTTTATAAAAAGGTTTCTCTCCAGAAATCATCATTGAGCTTTGAAATACATTGGCACCCCAAAGCTTCAACAATCATGTGCTTCTAGAGCAAGATGCATTAAAAAGAAAAAGAAAAGATACAAAATATTACAACCAACCATTGGGGTCAACACTAAACAGATGCAGCAATCAAGAAAACCTGGTAGCCCATACCGGTTCCTAAAAAGTTCCCGAGTAAAACAAGTGGGCAACCTACCATACCAAGCAAACTCTACCCTGGAATCCAAACCCGAATTACCAAGTCTATCATCACATTTATTTCCTTCTCTGTATATAAGAGAAACATGAAAATTAATAGCCTTAAACAAAGAAATCCCAATGGCCATTAATTATTTCACCTTTTCTCATTTTGTTTTATGTACATGAAAACATTGTATATAACAGATGGCAATATTTACTGTCCTAATTCCCTAAGTAAGCATTTCTCCATTTTCCATGTTTGCAAGGATGTACTCACAGCATTTTCCTCATCGGGGTCATTTTTGAACACATAGAAGAGAGGGGCCACTACTTCATTCATCCCTTGAACGTATCTTATACCTTGGTTCAACTTTGCAAAAATAATTAATATGTTCTTTAAAGCATCCTGAAAATTCCCCAAAAGTTGAAAGTCAAGAAAAAGGATTGAGTTACTCAATTTGTCTATATGAATTTCAAAATAAATAGAGGAACAACCTGATTAGATTTTGCCAATTGACAATCACCGGAGAAGAACTGTATATCTGGATGAGTACGTTTTACATCACGATCAATCTGCTCTATGAGCTCTGTGTCCTAGAAAAATGAAAAAAAATAAAAAGAGGAGTACAGGAGATTAGATTAAGTTTTGAGTAACAGTAGTCATGACACAGGAAGTAGCATAGAAGTTCATAAAAGATTAAAATATTGATAACGGAACGATCATTAGCAGTATTGGTACAGGTTCCGCTGTGTAAAACTAATTCCCCCCACAGACACAGTGGTAATGGTAGAACAGATTGTATATATAGAAGCAAACCAGAAATTTAGCACGCAATTGAGAATACTGTATCTGTAAGTGTAGAAAGTAACGAGAAGAATTGCAGTAAATGGCTTTGTAATTTTTAACCGTAAAGTAGGTGATATTTATGTGTAAATAAGACGTATAATTAGACTTGGGCAGAAAAAAATGCATAGATATTAGATTAGTACCTGGAAGAATTGATTCCATATGCTGGTCTTGCCAAGACTCAAAGGGTGATCCTCATGAGTGATTTGTGATCTAGAAAGCAAGATACGAGTCTCAGATTTTGCATCATCGATGTCATGAGCAGCGGAGTTGTAGATCCTCCTCGTGATTTCTGACTGACTAGGCACAGAAACATTCAGAAGTGTGTGGTTGGGACTCTAAGAAAGGAAATAATTGATGTAGGTGACGAACTTACAGGATTCATGAGGAGGTCGTCTTTGAATTGTCTGTACTGGGACCTCTTCTTGGCTAATTCAGAGGACCAAAGGGCACGATCGGACGGAAGATATCCAAGCAAAAGCTGAAAAGATAAAAAACAAAATAAATTGTAATCGTGTCTGTGTGTGTGAGATGACATTAAATTGGTAAAGAGAGGGTAGGTACCTTCCAGAGCGTAGGGCGTAAAGCAGGGGCGGCAGCACGAGGAATGCCTTGAGAAGCGACTCTCCTCAACTCGCGCATGTCTATCATCTTCCTAGATAACTAATCACAAACTAACTTAGTAACCAAAAAAAACTAAAAAAATCAATTAGTCCATGGATAAATGATTGGGAAAGCTAACCTCGGTCAACAGCTGAGCCTGAGAGGAGATGTCATCGGCGGCGGAGGATGCAGAAGCAGAAGAGTCGACGGACGAAGAAGAAGGAGAGGCATTGTGATTAGTTGGAGGATCTTCTCTGACAGAAACGGGGGGAGGGGGAGGAGGAGGAGGGGGAGGAGGAGGAGAGGGCGGGCTAAAGCGGTGGTGATCGGAGGGGGAGGACCACAGAGAACTGTTCATCCACTCCGGTACCTGTTTCTTCTTCTTCATCATTCTCCTTGTTTTACTTTCTATCTAGGGTTTCTCCGCTCAGGGTCAGGACTAGAATATATTAGATTTGCTTCCACTGCATAAAAAGAAATTGAAATTGGAATTGGAATTGGAATTCGGAATTGGAAGAGAAAATATTCAACTCAACGGCAACCAACATCGAGGCATGCATTTTCAATTTCGTATTTACACCTCTTCCTCTACTCTTCTCTGCTTGTATTGTATCTATACACATGGCCCCGCTACACTATGCCACCACAACACACTTCACCACATAACACAAACACAACACCATCTACACCGAATGCCTATTCCCTTCATGCCTATTCCTTCATGCCTATTCCCTTCATGCCTTACTGTAACAATTTCTTCATTTTCTTCTAAATCACCTTTTGGATTAAAACACTTCATCAACGCTTCCAAACTTAGCTCATTATTAACTACATATTATACACCAAATTCCACACTTGTAATCTCAATTCTTAATAAGTTATTTAATTGGTAACCAACCAATAATTAAAATAACACCAAATATTCCATGCTAACATTTTAACGAAAAATCCTTTGTAATTATCATAAAAATTCTTTACTTCATTCCATTAAACTCATTGTACAATTTACTACTATGAGAGTTTGTTTTAAACAAAAAAGGCCTATAAGTTATTTACTTCCTTGATATTTAATAGGAGACAACAAGATCATTTAACTCACAAACTATTTAAACCCCCCAAAAGCCCGTTATAACAACACAAACTGAAGTTATTCAAAATTTTGTTTTAAAGCAATGTCTTTTCCGTTAAAAGAATTCGGTTTTGCTGTGAAAATTCTGTGTCCACAATTTCAGTAAAGCTACGACCTGGAGAATGTTTTGAACAACTTGATGTCGTTACAACTCTGAATCAAAAGGCATAACCAGTCGGAAACGTCATTTGCATTCTTACTGAAATTCCGAGTTGGAAGAAAGCTTGAAGAAACCTTTGTTTGCACACCTTTCAAAATAGTAGTTTCTCTCCAATTTTTCAATGGGGAGTGCAAAAGGACTTTGCTTCAACTTTAAAATGTCTTCGGATATTCTCTTTTTTTTTCTTTCATCTTCTACTTAAAAGTGTGTCAATTTTATTTATCAACAGACTAATGTCTTTTTTTTCTGAACAGACTGTTCCACTAGTTTTCAGATCCTACAAACTTAGAGGTGATGCAATGTTTTTTCTTCGGTACACTGTTGAGAGCAAGTAATAACACAATGAAAACGGGCGAGTTATGCCTATAAGAAATACAACTGTAGTACGAAATTAACCGAGTATTCCATTTTTATGTTGTCAATCTGGATATACCTCACAGTATTCTGAAATTGATTAACATATGTAATAATCAACTTCAGTCAAGAATTTGTCACTGTAGCTTTCTAAATAAAATTTGTATGCGCCAAGGGTTAAGAATTTGTTACCCAGTGTATGAGTCTGGGGTGCATAATTTGTTTTTGCAAACCTCGCCAACCAGCTTACCAAAACCATATAAAGATCACCTTACAGCGAAGCGATAAATGAAGAAGCTCTATATGTTTGAACAATGAACCCTGGCAAACATATTGTCCCTACCAACCAAGAGAAAATAAGTCTTGCTCGCACCATAAAGAAGAAACACAATGTAAATGCAAATAAAACCGAGCGTAACTTTAATCTGTCGTAGTGTTATTTACAGTCCAGGAAAGAAGCTGGGGGAATAATACAGTTTCTAGTCAGAGTAACAGTAACCATATGCTACCTACATCTTCAAAACTAGTCTAATAGACAAAACCAATCTAATCACAGTGAAGATATCAGATATAATTTACAAGTCCGTAAATGTAAACATCAAAAAAACAATCTTCCGAAAACAAGAAACCTCTTCTTTGAAAACTACTTACAAATTTCAAAAACTCTTTCACATGTCCATAATAAAGAGAATAATCCAAATTAGTATTCTGCTTTACTAGCTTTGCACTGCCAGTACCTGCAACTGATCTAGAAAAACTTCCAAGCTCATTTCATCAGTAAATATAATATCTGATCCATCTGTGTAGGTTGAGTTTTGAGTAACAGATGGATTCAACTTGGCGAGAAGAAATCTAGCCTGGCTACTATGCTGATCACATCTTATAATCCTTGGCACTGGAACCCTGTCGGCCACCAATTGCTCTGCATCCAGTTCCGGGGCTTCCAACAGCTTTCTGAAGTTCTCATGATTGGGGTCCTTGTCATAACCCAGCTTCCTCCACTGAGCGATCTTGGACCCGTGATGAATCACCACATAGAAGAAAGAATCAAAGAGCAAGATAAAATCCGGAGAAACAGAACGAATATCCAGCAGTACTGGAACAGGTGGACCATCAAACGAATATTGGAAAAGCGTAGGTTGAATCATTATAAGCGATCCTACAACTCCCTCGCGGTTCAGCATGAGCCGGAAAAAAGCAGTCTCATCAGGAGTAGTGTTACAGACATCAATGAATTGAGATCGCCTCAAGTGAAACATAAACTGGGGATAGAGCGAAAAGTTGGAGGATAGGCGGAAGGAAGATGGGTCTTCTGGCACATAGTCCCCAAACTTAGAAGTAAAACGTATGAGCGTGTCATCCAGCCATCTAATAACATCACGGGGATGGCATTCCTGTGCACGTAGAATGGCAAGTCTTGCCATAACTGCAGCGGCGGCTTCTTGATCAAATCCAGCAGCAATATCAGCAGAATGGTTTGCAACCCATCGTCTAGCAGCAGTTGTCACTCTTTTCCGGCATTCCATGTTCCCCTGCCTGTACCGCGTGATAAACTGAATCAAAAATGCGGAGCCGGGTTGAATTCTTTGCCGCTGATTCACTTGGAAGAAAAAAGCAATGCAAGTTTTGTGAGTAAGAGTGTTTAACTTCCACAAAGAGGTGCCACCTTGTCCAACCTCAGCATCACTCACCAAACTGTTCTTTCTATGCAGAGACACGCAAGGGCCAAGTGCTCCACAGATTTGGACATCTTTGGTGGTAACTATCTCAATAGTGGCATCAAAGTTCATCTTCAAATGGCCCTGGTTGTCAGACTTGAACATATGCCCGAGACATTTCTTGAACTGATCGGATTCGAAAGATTCGGAGAGAATCATGAATCCACCAGACTGCTCAACAGGTTGTCGAAGCTCGGCGGCCCCAACTTGGTCGAGCGAACAGGCAAAGAGATCAAGAATAACAGACGCATCAGATAGCCTCTTGGAGAGTTGGTTATAGAAAGAGCACGAGTTGGCGTGGTGTCTGGCTTGGTTGTTGAAGATGTGATGGTGGGTTCTGATGGGTTGGCGGAGATCAGAATCAACAACGATTCCGGGACCGATAGTGGCAGGTCCGGAGGTGAAGAGCATGATCCTGGAGCCTGTGGTGACAAGGCAAGACTCTAGAAGTCCGAGGGCGACGGAAATGGCAGTGCCGGTGCACCTTGGAGGGCGAGTGGCGGAGGTGGAGTAGAATGTGGAATGGATGTCTTCAATTGCAGAAGTGATGGAGAATTCACATTCGGAAAATGGCAACAGAAAATCCTGTTTTGGGGTGTGTCCGTGATGCAGCGGGTGGGGGCGGCCGATGTTGAGGAACTGGCGGATCTGAGGGAGAGATTAAGGAAGATTGAATAAAGTCAGTTGATGATCGAATGAAGTGGATTGAGTGTAAAAGAAAGCGGGGATTGAATCAGAAGAAGTAAGAATAATAAGTGTAGTAGAGTGAAATACCTGATTGGAGGAGAGATGGCGGCTGCCGTGAAAGAGGTGGAGGGAGGAACAGGGGGAAGAGGCGAGATGGTGGAGATAGACCATGGAATCGAAGGTGAGGAGAGCGACGAGGGCGTGATCGGGGAAGTGGTGGTGGAGGAGGAGGAGGAGGTCCTTCTTGAGGGAGAGCAGTTGGTCGTCGGGGGAGGAAAGATCGATGAGAAAGACGAAGGCGGGGGGAGGGGGAGGGGGAGAGGAGGAGGGGAGAGAAGGAGAGTACTCGACGGTGCTGTAGG